GTATAAATGGTGAGAAAACTGGGAATTCTCCTTTCTGTGCCATCCCATAAACCTGCAGCTCCTGGGTTCCCGAGGAGCCTTCAGCACCTGCTCCTCCCCATCCCGACAGCTCCTCCCTGGCTTTGGATATCTCCGGTTTTCAGTGGATGATGATTATTATGATTATCATGATCATTATGATTATTTTGCTTAATATAATTTGATTATTATGATTATGATTATTATTTGGATAATTGTTATGTTAATTTTTATTATTATTATTATTATTATTTTGATGACTATGATTGTTTGGATAATTGTTGTGTTCATTATTATTATTACTACTACTATTATTATTATTTTGATAACTATGATTATTATGATTATTTTGATTATTTTAGTGGTTATTATTATTATAATTATTATGATCATTATTATGATTCTTCTTATTATTATGATTACGATGATAATGATGATGATTATTGTTTTGATTAGTATGATTATTTTGTTTATTTTTATTGTTAATTACTATTAACAGGTGGTCACTGTCTCCCTCATTGTGATGATTATTATGATGATTATGATTATTTTGAATATTATTGATTATTATGATTATTTTGATTATTTTTATTATGATTATTTTGATTATTAATTACCATTAACAGGTGGTCATTGTCTCCCTCATGATGATTATTATGATTATTTTGATAATTATGATTATTCTGATGGCTATGATTATTATTTTGATTATTAACTCCCATTAACAGGTGGTCACTGTCTCCCTCATTATGATGATGATTATGATTGTTTTGCTGATGATTATTATTTTGATGACTATGATTATTATTATGATTATTTTGATTGTTTTTATTGTTAATTCCCACTAACAGGTGGTCGCTGTCCCTCTCATCCCCCGGCCGGGTGTGATGGAGCTGGAGGAGGTGTTCGTGCAGCTCCGCGGGGAGGTGGCCAGGCTGCGGGAGCTGTGCTCGGAGCAGGGGAGGCTCCTCCGGCGGCTGCGGGCCAGGAAGGGGCCGGTGCTGGGTGAGCGGGGTCTGGGGGGTCCCTGGAGGGCACATTTGGATGGTGGGGTCACACCAGCCCCAGTCCCGTAAGGGTCACTCCTATCTTTGTCCTGACACGGGGTCACTCCGGCCTTGGTCCTGGCAGGGTCATTCCCCTTCCACTTTTATCCTGATGGTCACTTCCACCTTTATCCCACCGGGGTCACTCCCGCCTTGATCCCGTCGGGGTCACTCCCACCTTTATCCCGTCAGGGTCATTCCTGTCTCTATCCCATTGGGGTCACTCCCATCTTTATCCCGTCAGGGTCACTCCCTCCTCAGTCCCTTGGGGTCACTCCCACCTCGATCCCATCGGGGTCACTCCCACCTCGATCCCATCGGGGTCACTCCCACCTCGATCCCATTGGGGTCACTCCCATCTTTATCCTGTCGGGGTCACTCCCATCTTTATCCTGTCGGGGTCACTCCCACCTTTATCCCATCAAGGTCATTCCTGTCTCGATCCCATTGGGGTCACTCCTGCCTTGATCCCGACAGGGTGACTCCCATCTTTATCCCATCAGGGTCACTCCCTCCTTTATCCCATTGGGGTCACTCTGCCTTGGTCCTGTTGGGGTCATTCCCACCTCGGTCCCATTGGATTTCCCAGCTTTATCCCATCGGGGTCACTCTGCCTCAGTCCCGATATGGGGTCACTCCCCTCTTGACCCAGACAGGGTCACTCCCACCTTTATCCCAATACGGGGTCACTTCCGCCTTTATCCTGCCAGGGTCATTCCCACCTCGATCCTGATGGTCACTCCTGCCCCGATCCCATTGGGGTCACTCCCTCCTTTAACCTGTGGGGTCACTCCCATCTTTATCCTTTGGGGTCACTCCCACCTCAATCCCATCGGGGTCACTCCCTCCTTTACCCTGTGGGGTCACTCCTGATTC